TTGTACTATCAAACCAGCCTGTCCCTACAGTGGACCAAGGTAAACACCCATGTAGTTACTCCCCTAACTCACCGTTGGCATTTACAGAATATTCAGATTTGCCATCTGACACTTATGGAGCTATTTCAATTAAAGCTATTCTATAATCCCCAGATTTGCCATCTGACACTTATGGAGCCATGCTATTTCAATTAAAGCTATTCTATAATCCCATTACAATTAAAAGTAAAGTTTATCCCTGAAGAAGTGGCAGTAACGTACCTGTGATTGTGTAACATCTCTGTAAAGTAGAATCATAGACTCATAGAAAAGTGAAATTGGAAGGGGCCTACAAGGCCATCAAGTCCAACCCCCTGCTCAAAGCAGGAATACAATCAAATTATATCTGCCAGGTGATTATCCAAGTTTTTCTGGCACACCTCTAGTGTTGGAGCACTCACCAACAAGATTTGCATATTCTAAGCAGTATAAGCTGAACAAAGCAGTACCGTATTTTTCTGTGTATAAGATGTCCCCAAATTTAAAAAAGCAGGGATATTTTGCTGAGCCCCATGCCTTCGCAAAAGGCAAGGAAAGTGGCTATAAAAGTGACTGCCGCTTTTCCTTGCCTTTTGAGAAGGCACGGAGTTTAGCAAAAAGGACGGGGAGGCGTTTCTCTCTTCCTTTTTGCTAAGCTCCATGCCTTCTCAAAAGGCAAGGAAAAGCAGCTGTCAAAGTGAACACTGCTCAGCCACTTTCCTTGCCTTTTGAGAAGGCATGAGGCTTAGCAAAAAGGGAGAAACTCCTCCCCTTCCTTTTTGCTAAGCCCCGTGCCTTTGCGAAAGGCATGTATAAAACAACCCTCAATTTTTTCTCAAATTATTTAAGGAAAAAGTGTTGTTTTATACATGGAAAAATACAGTAGTATTTCAGTGAGTCTGACATGTCACATTGTTGCCAAGGGCACAAGAAGTGAATAAGACTCTCTCTCTCTCTCTCTCTCTCTCTCTGATTTCTCTACCAGGTGTTGTTGGAGACTGGAAAAACATAATGACTGTTGCCCAGAATGAAAGATTCAACCATGTGGCCCAGAAAAGAATGGAAAAGTTACCCTTCAAACTCTGATGAAATATGAGAGGAATCTCATTAGCCTTGAACTGTACATAGTTTTGATTTTCTGAAACATACTATTTCTTTTTCTTTCAAGGCAATATGTGATTTTTGACAAACTGTGCTTTGTGTGCATTGCTCACATTGTACACTATTTTTCTAAATTATCACTGGATGAGAGTGCAGTGATGTTCTTTTGATTTGCAATCCTGCCTTGATCAGGGGGTTGGACTTGATGGCCTTGTAGGCCCCTTCCAACTTCATCTTTCTTTGATTCATATGCCACACAGAAGTGGAAATAGGCCACTTATTTAGATCTCTCACACTTGATATTGCCTTGATAGTTTCAGTAATCAATTCCAAATAAACTAACAGGGGGTTATGTTGTAGGACACTTGGACAACATTGGTCTTCAGCACAGATTTTGCAGTAAAAAATGACAAGGTCTGATTTTGTCTGAGCTTGTTTGACTCCAAGGGCAAAAAGAGTTTATAAGGGAACAAAAGGGTGAACTCTCTGATTTTTCCTGCTGACGTTATATAACCCAAGGATAGGAAGAGTTACAAAAGGACAGAATAGCAAATAGAATGTATGTGGACAAATTGCTCAATGAGAGAACTGTCTTGAACTCCCCTATAAAATTCTTTCCAGATGGGAAAGTGGTGACAAAATCACTGAAATTGTTAATCAGTTCTAGAAGTTGGTAAACTGTAGAAATTTCTGTCTCTGTGCTGCTTTGTCACTGAACCCTCAAGTCCCTTATTGAAAAAAAGTGGAGTAGAGGAGCAGTTGTCATGTACGTCTGGTGCAAGAAAGGGCACATCTTTTTTCTTGTCTTGTCAACCACATCAAGATAACAGTAAGTGAAACTGATCTCAATATCTTGTCTAGATGGTAGGCAAACACAAAGGCAGAACTCAAATGCAGATGAGGGCAACACCTTCATTAGACCCCTAAAAAAAGTCAAATGATCTATGAAAACTTTCGTGAATTAAAATTCATTTCTTAAAATTATGATGAATGAATGTCCGAAAAACTCATGGCCAGAACTGTGACATCAAGTCCTATGAGAAAAAAATGCTAGCAAATTCTTTACAAGAGGTGACCAAAGGATGACCAGTGACCTGGTCTCTGTGAGAGTCCAACAAGCTGTTCACCACTATTACAGGGTGATTATCAGTCATTAACATTAAATGGACCAAGTAGATCTAGGTGTCTCACTAGACCACAAGGTGAACAAGAATCAACATTGTGATGAGGCTGCAAAATGATTAAAAAGGCAATGCAATACTATTCTGAATCAACAGAATAGTGTGCAGATTAAAGGAAGCAATAGTACCAATCTGCTCTGCACTGGGCAGATCTCACTTGGAATACTCTATCCAGTTCTGGAGCATCACAGCTGAAAATGCTGTTGACACACCGGACTATGTCTAAAGGAGGGTGACCAGGAGGATAGTGAGGAAACCAATCCCTTAAAAATGGTTGAGGGAATTGAGCATGCTTAGCCTAGAGAAGAGAAGGCTGAGAGATGGCATGGTGGCTGACTTCAAATAGTGGAAGGGCTGTCATGTGGAAGATGGAATGAGCTTGTTCTGCCCAGATCTAGAGAGTAGGACTCAAAGCAATGGATTCGAGTAAACAGAGAGGTGGTCCAACTATACAAGAGGAAGGACTTCCTGATAGGAAGAGCTGTTAACCAGTGGAACAAGGAGTGGTGGAATCTCCATCATTGGAGGTTTTGAAACGGAGGTTAGACTGCCATCCTTTGATTCTACAACCTCTGAAATAAAATTCAGTGACAGGGTCTCACAACAGCAGCATTCAGTTTGAAATGGAAGGAATGTCGGAGAGCATGAAATCACTAATCTCAAGGTAACTTTAAGGCACCTTTTCCACAAAGAAGACAATGGGACCTGGATTGGGAATACGAGGGAACTACATCCAGTTCTTGCAACTGCTGAAGCATGGGAATCATAGCAAATCCTGTTCTTATGATTTGGAACTATTCCAAAAAATAATAGTCTTTAAATCAAATGGAGTTCAAATTTCTTTTAGTCTTAAGGAACTGTTTAGTCAAACAACAACTTCTGATTTATTTTGCAAAATCCATGTGGCTCCAGTCTTTATCCATAGCTCTTACACAATATAAAAACATGAAATTTGTCAAACTTCAATAGGTTGTATGCGTATCTTACACAATATAAAAACATGAAGAGATTTGTCAAACTTCAATAGGTTGTATGCGTAGCCCCGGTCTTGCAACTTATCCATTGTGAGGGTAAACATACTCTAGAATATGCAGCAGGGCCGTGATGTCAAACACTGCAGCAAATCTTGAAGTGTTCAGTGGAATGAATAGCTAAGTACAATGATTCATCAATTAAATTTAGCTCCACAAGCTTAGGAGTTTCATATCTAGCATGATCTTCTGTGACTGGACATAGCATGTCCATACTTTTTTTGTCACCAACATGTCTGCCTCCTTCCCTTCCTCCTTGTACAGATGATATTCATATATGTAGGTTGGTAGGTACATAAATTCCCTTCTCAGGTACACTAGGTGTCTTTTGGGGACAAATTCAGAGGTTGGTTCTGCTGGAAAATTCCAAACTCTCCAAGAGGGTCTGAGCCATCAAGTGCCATCTGACTGATGGTGACTCTAATATAGTTTTGGAGGTGTGTGAGATATTCAAGGGACAGTTTTAGTATGCAGTCACCTTGTAGGTTTTTATGACTGAGTGGGGATCTGAATGCAAGTCTCCTGAGTCCTAGTCCATCACTTTATCCACTATAAGACACTGGCCCTCTGAGATGCCTTCCTGTGTCCTACGATTCACGGGAGGTTGATCTTCACCCCCTCTCGAGGACACAGTTCTTCTAGGTGCACCACGAAAACATTCTTCCGCTTCAGTATATTCATAGGCAGGCTGTGCACAGCACCTCTTTACAACTCTCTCACACAATGAAAGCTATCAGTCATGCACCCAGTTCATGAATTTTTTAATGTAGTAAACATATACCTCTTTATCAACTGTAGAAATATTCAGTGCTACCCAAATGTGAACGGTGTACACTACTCCTTGATAGCAAACAAAAATAGGCTAAATGTCACACTCATGAACAAAAGGGAGGGAGAGGGAGGGAAAAAAGAATAACTGTTAGCAACACTTCTGTTAATTAGCCAGATGAGCTGCATTATCCTGCCCACAATGTGCCTTCACTCAAGACCAAGGATCAGCAAAGACTCCTGAAGCTGCCTCATTGAATGTTAAAGAATGTATCTGGTGATAAGTTCTGCAATGATTTACTAAGTGCCAACCTTCCCTTTAAGTATTTGGATGCCGGACAATTGTTCAGATCCCTGAGGAAGAACCCCTAAACGTTGGCTTTGGGCAAGGCCTGAAGACCAATCTGCCCTTTTAAGCTGAAATACTTCAAGTGCCAGAAGAAGCTTCTCTGACTTTTCCAAACGATCAGAGGGGGTAGGTCTGCTTTATATCCAATTTTACCTACTAGCTTACTGCATGACAGCAACAAGTGCAGGTCAATATCCCTGGTCTACGTTTTCAGGAGCAGCATCCTATTTCATCAGATTACATGGAAATTCGTGTCATAATAATAATCTTTTCCCTCTCCTGCTTTCTGAGGCCCGAGAGAATATACTTTGAGAGCCCTGGAGAAAAGGCAAGATATTAAGGAAATAAACTAACATAACATAGACAGATCAATACATTTTAAAATACAGATATTCATTGAAAGCTTGATGGTTAGATAGTTATATGAGGAATAGTGTATCTTAAAGACTTTGTGTGAAAATGAAAAATACATATTTTTTGAATTCATATATGACTCTGAGTCCGTGTGCATATGAAGTTTTCTATCATATAGTTATTCTGGCTTGGCTTTACTTGCCCTTGGGCTGGAGAAAGAAAATATATTAGGAATGATTGTTTGTCAGGGAAATGGCATATTTATTTGCATGACCAAGTTTTGTTACTGGTATTATGCTCCTTCCTTTTAAAATTAGGTATATAAGTCAGCCATGTCCTTAAATGTTCCCCTAAAGAGAATATCCAAAATGGGTTTGGATAAACATCAGGGAAACAGGAAGCCCTAGGACATCACAGGTTATTTGAACAGTTTAAAACACTTTATACATCCTTAGTACTTCTTTTTATTCCTTTGCTTCTTTTTTCACCCTATGTGTCCATCTTTGCTAGAAATGTGCATAGCTGATACTTTTATTTGTGTTCCATTCTGGATTTTGTGGGGGCATGCCTTTTTTGTTTTTCTCTCTTCATGCACTATTTCATACATGTAATATGCATAGGATGATGTTATTATCTGCAAAATTTCCTGGGTGATTTGACAAGCAGTGAGAAAAAGATTTAACAAAACAGGGAAACACAGAAAAATATGCAATTCTTCTGTACCCCTAATTGGTTAACACAAATACTTTGTGTTTAGGAAGTTGATTCCTGGAAGTCAACTAAAGAACATGAACATGAAATAAGAGCTTTTGTTATGGTTTTACCTCAGGTTAACAGAAAAGTCCCATGTGTAATCTCTACTTTCCATTTCCTGACACACTGTTTCCTTGCCTTTGCCCTTGTCCTTGTATTTGTCATCTCCTTCTTCTGGTTCTCCTTCTGCTGCTGTGACTTCTGCTTTGTGTAATACTGCTTTCTTATTTTATTGTATCTTTGTTCTCGCTGCACTTTATGATATTTGATTTGTGTCCCCTAGTGTACTGATATTGTATTATGTTTTTAATTTGTTGCTTTGTCTATCTGTTGTTAACTGCCTGGAGTGGCCTTGGCTGCCAGATGGGTGGTATACAAATCAAATCAAATCAAATCAATCGTTCTTAATATTACGACATTGTTACTAGATGTTGAAGTTTGGAAAAGTGAAGGATTCCACAGAATCTTTAGAATAAATAAATTAATTTTAATATATTATTTTGTAATTGTCTGCAGTCCCATAACAGTGGGGAAATCACTATAATTTTCTGTAGTCCTCTGTCCAGAGCACAAGCGATGGAATTGTCAGATGAGTACCTGTTCAAATACAAAGGAATCTATTTTATGTCTGATGTGGTTACACCAGATTATCTGGATTCCCTGGAGGATTTTGATATCAGAGACAGTGATGTATTTCTTGTCACTTATCCAAAATCAGGTAAGACTTGAAACCGTTCCCTCCAAAATGCCTATATACGTATATATATTAATCTGGCTCTATTCTTCCTTTTTAGTCTGACTAAATTGCACTGTAATGAGCTTTTAGTTCCTTATTAGATGAATCAGCATTCGGGGTGGGGGGGGAAGAGATTAATGAAAAAGGAGATAATGTGAGTGAAGAGATATTGTAGAGACATTTCTGGGTGGAAATAGCAGATGCCATTGGAAAAATGAGATTCTTTATATGCCCCAATGGGCAAATGGCTGCAACTAGAGATGATCTGAGGCTGTTCGCAAGTGGAATGAATGTGAACATTTATTTGAATAACAGCAAATAAACAAGGCATAATATACATGAAATGAAGGGACAATATAAAAGAGATAAAATCAATGAATTTCTATCATAATATCTAACAATGCAATGATAAAATAAAAAGTGTAATGCAGAACAAACTTGATTAAAGTTCCAGATGAAATTATAGTTATATAAGATCTCTCTCTCTTAGCCTTTTATAAAATACTGTATTTGCGCTCTGGTGGAAGTTCACTGTGTTCCCAGTTGTTTAGCAGTGCTTGGTGTAAAGTCTGAGAAAGAGAGAGAGAGATAGCTATGCGTTTCAAGGAACAGGTTCCTGAAGCCTCAGGAGACTGTGCAATAAAATTGATCCAGAAGGAATCCATATGGGAAAATCAGAAGAAAAATGTAAATTAAGTAATAAAATAAAAAAATCTCTCTCTCTCTCTCTCTCTCCTCTGTATTTTGAAGGGAGGGAGGGAGGGAATCAGAGTTCATTTGGGGCAGCCTACAGGCTGTTTGTAAAAAGAAACGCAAGTGAAAGGAAGGTATAGAATTTCCTAGAAGGAATAATCTAAACCATTGTCGAAATGAAGCCTTTTCTCAAAATCAAGGCAAACTAAGGTACAAAGTCCCCAGAGCAGTCAGAAACTGCAACATCAAGAATTATGAGAGAAACAGTGAATTGAAAAGTGTATCTGGGTGAATATAAATATATTGATAGAGTGTGTGTCCTCCATTCTGCCAAACAACAATTGCTTTATCTTCCACTCATGCCCCTAATTTTCGTGCATTCCGGTTGACTTCATTACCTTCATCCCTAAATGTAGTCCTGTATTGGTAGATGGGAAGTTTGGAGGAAAAGTGCACTGCACCACCTTTCTTGATTCCCAGGAAGACAATCATCTCTTTGTCCTGCAATGCATGATGTGATTGGAGCATCTAATCAGGATGCACTCTGGGCCTGGAGGCACTGAAAGGATCCAATGTTGTAGCCTGTCCATACTTTTCCATTCTTTTCCAGCTGGGAGTAACCATGGATCTGTCTTTTCCCTCACTCCATCATACAAAAGTCGAGGCTGGGAGAAATCGTCACCGTTCTTGTGTATAGGAAAACTGCCAAGCATGCAGTTTATGAAACCAACCAAAGATTTCCTCAAGGCCATTCCACAGGCAGGCCATTCCACAGGTTGATAATCCAACCCATAAGCCATATCTCTGGAAGCCAGTCCAACCCACATATCTACATACCTTGGAGTTCTATACTTGCTCTTACCCTCGGAGTTCTATACTTGCTCTCCCTTATTGCCTCTTCTAGTGTTGCAATTCAAATAATAAACTCACAAGGAAGAGGCATTTACTTTTACAGGAGAAGTTAATTTGATGCCAAAGAAGAAATTAAACCATGCTGTTTCTATTCATAGGCACAGTGTGGACCCAGAACATTCTGAGCATGATACATTATGAAGGTCATCGAAATGGGACTGAAGAGACAGATTTACTGGACAGAATGCCATGGCTGGAGTACAACATCCGTAATGTGGATTGGAGCAAGCGTGAATCACCACGTCTCATTGCTTCTCATTTGCCCTATTACTTGGTACCAAAGGGATTAAGAAATTGCAAAGGAAAGGTATCACATGCCACTGCTGTTGTCTCCTTCAATTTATTTGTAAACTGTTTCTTCTTTTAAATCAATATATCATAGAGAGATATGAACAATAGCTTAAAGTATATTGCTAGAATGAGATTTCTAGGAATTAGCCAGGTAAAAGCAGTGGTGACTTAGATATCGGGCTGTGGATCCAGAGTTTGGAAGTTCAATTCCACACTGTAGCTCATTGGAGAAGAGCCAGCCTGTGTAGCCATGGGCAAGCTCACCAATCCCAGAGCACCCCCAGAATAAGGGAATGGTAAACTACTTCTAAGTAATCTCTCTACTTAGAAGACTGTGAAAAGGGCCCCCCGTTAGTCAGAATTGACTTGAAGACATAAAATTATTATTATTATTATTATTATGAGTAAAAGAGTGACAAAAACTGGTCTTTAATGTCAAAGGAACGCAACCTTACCACCAAGTAAATTTTAAAGATTTTTTTAAAAGGCTTTTAAAAGGCTCCAAAACTGACTTGTGCCATCCGTGGTGGTGGTGAGGCACTTTTCAAATGTATTGCTGAGGTCCTCTGATTAATCTAATTTTAACTTTAATGATTCCTACAGGTTATTTATGTGCTCAGAAACCCAAAAGATGTCTTGGTCTCATACTATCATTTTTCCAAATTTTCACGCAAAGTGGAAGAAACAGACTTTGTTTTGATGGAACAGTTTCTAGATGGCAAAGGTAAGGATTCCCTGGCACTGGAATCTAAGCCACATTTGTCTCTATGCTATGTCTGTGCTTTGAGAACACAAACTCTGTCCGATAATTGCCCTTGAAACAAGGGAAAGGACTAAAAGGATAGATGGGGCTTGGGACACCCTTGTAAACCCCACGTCCCTGCCCCACTTGATTAAGCCACCTACTCATCTTGGGACTTCTGTCAGTGTGTGAGGCGGAACCTGTGTCCTCTCAGTGGAGATGGGGATTTGGAGGGGGATGCCTCTGCAAACCACCATCTTTACTGCTGTTTCTGTTCTCCCCACAGAAATAGGGCTGGAGAGAATTCAGTGTTTTCAGAAGGTCACACCAGAGATTGTTAGATGGTGAACATGTTCAAAATCTGTTGAATAACTGATCCTCACTAAATAAATAAGAAGATAAGGAACATTTTTACTCCACACTCAGACACACTTCATGCAGACCAACTTTCACCATTAACTATCATGTTACGGAAGAAAGTGTGGTTTCATACTGTAGTGAGAAACCGATGACGGAGAAAACTAATATTTCATGCACCAGAACCCTTGCTCCTGAACACACTGGGATAAAGGGAAAAGAAATAGGCACCTGCTAGAAAGTGGGAAGAGATTTATGTACATGGAGAGGAAATACTGTAGGGCACAAGGAAGTAAATCAACTCTGTTAAGTAAACAGTTTAGATAATATCCACAAGTAAGAAAATATCAGGTCAAAGTTGCATCTAAACAAAAACGAGCATTTGTAGTCCATCAGATTGATAGCCAGATATACAGACTGGGCAGCTGAGAGGCTTAACTCCGAGAGTACTGGGCAGCTGAGGGGCTTAACTCCGATAGAGGCCCAGAAGAAAAAAACTAGAATCTGGGCCTTCTCAGCAGTGGTCCATCACCTTTTGAACATCCTTCCCTCTGAGATCTGCCTGGCTCACTGACTGGGAGTTTTTAAGACTAAACTGAAGACTAAACTTTAGGCCAGCCTACCCTCCTGCTGCTACTTAATTTTTCCCTCTGGTTTTTATTTGTTTTAATCTTTTTACTGATGATTTTAATTGTATTGCTTTTTTTTGGACTGTAAACCATCCCGAGTAACTTCGTCTAGATGGGCAGTATAAAAACCAAATAAATAACAAATAACTGAACATGCCCTAAAACAAACTGGGCATGAAATTCTATTTCAAAATACTGAAATACTGGACAACACCAGCAATCATGACGTCAGCTTCTACAGGGAAGCCACTGAAATCCACAAGCACCAGCAGAACTTCAACAAAAATGAGGAAAGTTTGAAACTCAAAAAAACCTGGCTCCCAGCTCTCAAAAATACAGTGTGCAAAAGGTCAACGAACTCTACCCGCCCACAAGGACAGGGGATCACTACACACAAAAGACCAGCTAATGACGCCCATCAACCACAGTGACAGATAATCTCTCCTTCTTATCACAACAATACACCCACAACAAGACACACTAATCACCCATCTACAGAAAAAGACAAAAGCCTATCTCACAGCCATAAATACTGCACTCCCAAGCCAACTACACCAGAGCACAGTGTGCTGTCTTCTGAAGATGCCAGCCACAGAGACTGGCGAAATGTTAGGAAGAACAACCTTCAGAACCCGGCCAAAGAGCCCGAAAAACCCACAACAACCAAATAACAAATTGTTCCCTCCCCATCATGTAATCTTCCAATCCCTGCAGGTGCAGGGGTTTTCCTTTTCTGCCTCCTGCAGCAGCTAGCCACTCAAATGAGGAGTTGGCGCAGGAATTCCTAAAACGCTGCTTCTGAGTAGCCAGCTACTGGAGGATGCAGAGAAAGGAAGTCCTTGCTCCTGCAGGGACTGGAAAATCATACAACAAGGATGCCAGTGAGAGGGGTGGCGGCAGGAAGCAACAAGGAGGGAATGCACATTGGCTGGTGAGTGGGGATGCCAGTGAGAGGGGTGGCGGCAGGAAATGCATGGCACCTGTGCTACTGTCCCAGTGACTTAGGACAACCCAGCACAAAGAGCTTCATGCCCATCTTTACTACATACAGTTACCCTGCATGGTAGAACAGGCATTTCTAACACTTCCAAATGACTTGTGGTGCCATTACAGGCAGGTGCCATAGTAGCCCAATATATTTTTCTGCCTAAAAGGTATGGACAAAATAGCACTACTCTCCATTCCATATAACAGTGGTTCCCAAACTTTAGTCTCTAGATGTTCCCAGAGATCCTGGCCAGCAGAGCTAGTGGTGTAGGCTTATGGCAGTTTGAGATCCAAGAGCACCTGGAGACTGGAAAGACAGTCACTGAAGCTGTTGCATCATCCATCAACAGAGGCCACTCCCATCTAATGCAATAGGGTGACAGGTGGATGGAGAGCAAAGCAGGCACAACAGCTCTGGTTTCAGCATGTCCCATGGGATCCACCCCCTATAAAAGATGTCATTCTTTGCTTAACCCTTCTGGGGAATTCCAGCCTGTTGAACTGGAACTTTCCAGCATACACCAATACTAAACAACACTGCCAAATGGCATTTTATCTATTTTAACTTTTGTGTGGAACTACATTTTTCTTATCAGTGTTAGCTGGTTCATGGCTGGACCATGTAGAAGGCTGGTCTGCTCACAGGGATGACTTCAATATTCTCTTCCTTACCTATGAAGAATTGAAGAAGGTAAGTCAGAACACTGCTTTCCCAAATAAATAATATACGTACAATTGTCCAAATACCCTTAAGCATGCCATGGATTCTGAGGTCAAAGGAAAAGGCAGACAAGTGCCTAAATGGGAAGGAGAAGGAGGCAGAGGAGCAAGAGCCAGGAGGCAGTTTGATGTGCCCCCAAGGGGGGCTGTTGCACAAATCTGAACAGCTGTGAAATGAGGATGTATTGATTTCAACCAGGGAATTTACAGGGGTTTGGCATAGGAACTGAAAATCTGAATGGATTATGCACACCTACCATTCTTATTTCCATTATGTTTCTTACTTTTCTTATGATATTTTAATTTGGTCTTATTGCTACATCTTTATTTTTCAACTTAATGACACATCACCATCATTATCATTCCCATTAGACAGACAGATAAACTTTATTATGGTCAGTAACCAATATCCAAAACTGGTCAGTCCGAAATGGAAAAAACAACAATGAACAAGAGATACATAAAATATATTATTCTGAAGAATGTCATTACAATCACCCTAAAAACATAAAAATCAGTGTGTAAAAATTCTTTCCTCCTTGGATAAAATTTGACGTATATTTTTTCTGAACATTTAAAAAAATGTACCTAACTCCCCAGCCATTAAGTGCCTGGTTGTGGAGCTAGGATTGGCAAATACAAACGCCGCTGTCCCTGCCAGTGAAGGACATCAGAAATGGGGGAAGGGAACCCAAAATCAAACAAACCCCGCAAGACCTATCAGAAATGGGGAAAAAAACTCAAAAGCAAACAAACCCCGCAAGACCCATCCGAAATGGAAAAAACAACAACCAAAAAGCAAACAAACCCCACAAGACCCATTGGAAATCAGGAGGGGGGGATCAAAAAGCAAACAAACCCCACAAAATCCATTGGAAATGGGAAAAAACACACCAAAAACAAACAAACCCTGCAAGACGCATCACAGCATAGAAAGAGCACTTCAAGTCATTAGATACCCAGCTGGAATAATAGATTGGACCCAAAATGAATTAGAAGAATTGTATTGAAAAATATGGAAACTAATGAACATTCATCTTGCACCACATCCAAAAAGTGATGTGGACAGATATTTACCATGAAAAATGGGAGGCTGTGAATTGCTGCAAATACAGCAGGTAGTAGAGGAGGAAAAATGTTAGTGCATGAACACGTGGAAATGACTCACTCAGACACCACCAGACATGTATTTACAGGATATTTACAAATATACAGAGCAACAGCATGACACTATGAATTCATCAGAAGAGTAGGAATACATCTTCTCTACACAATCCACATATATACACTTATCCATCTGGCTGTATCCAATCAGCACAGATGTTGCATCATCTTTGAGCCAGCCCTCCTAAGTGACTCAGCATATTGACACACCTGAACATCATGGTTGCTCATTAATATATTTGTTCTGTTCAGGCCTGTAAATTTTATACTCTGACATAAAAGAAGCATAAATGATTATATAAGCAGAAGCAGAGAAAAATTACTGAAAGCAGTGAAAATGGAGAATATTTTGAAAGCAACAGAAACAAAGGCTCAATATAAGAAACCACAATTAAAAATAAATTAAACAGCTGGAAAAAAAACCCACTACATGGACAACACCTGAGAAATACTGATGGAAACCATGATAATAATTCAACATAGTCATGGCTAAAACTGGGGACTTTTAAGAAAGAAACCAAAGGCTAGATTTTTGTTGCACAAGAACAAGCAATTCAAACCAATGTGATCAAAGCTATGATTCAAAGAATTAGTGCTAACAGCGAATGTTGACCCTGCCAAAAAAAGAGATGAAACTGTGTCACATCTCATAATCGAGTGGCAAAATTAGTGCACAGGTCATAATGCAAAAAAAAATCACTTGCCAGCCTCCAAAAACCCATGGGAACCTCACGTAGAAAATATATCAGAAAATGATGATGTCAAGCTCTTGTGGGATTTTGGGATACAAAATGATAGACACCTTGAACATAACACATCAGACATACTAGTAATAGAACGAAGAAATGTTGGGATCATTGACATAGCAACTCCAGGGGATGCCAGAGCTGAAAGTAAAAAGTTGTAAAAACTAACAAAGTACAGGGCTCTGGCAATTGAAAAATCTCGCTTTTTCATGAAACACCCCAGGAGCTACAGATCAAAGAAATAACACCATCAGAGCTACAGAAACAGCATAGGAACAGCATGGCTGAAAATAAAAAGTTGTAAAAACTAACAAAGTACAGGGCTCTGGCAATTGAAACATCTCGCTTTTTCATGAAACACACTCCAGTGATCCCCATGGTCATTGGGGTTTTGGAAACAATGTCAAAAAATTTCACACAGTATAAGCTGCAGATCAAAGAAATAACACCATTAGAGCTACAGAAACAGCATAGGAACAGCATAGATAACAGCATATGCCAATATGTAACAGATACTTCGATTTTTGGTTAAAATTTAACTCTGTTATATAATCAGTCAATGTTTTTATAATTTTGATTGACTGTGTCTGTTATTATTGAATAATAATAACAGCATGTCCTCAAGTCAATTCCAATTTATAGTGACCCTTTTCAGGTTTCTTCAGGTAGTGAGTATTCAGTGAGGGCACATTGTCCATGGCTACACAAGCTAACTCTTTTCCCAGGAACCACAGTAGGAATTTGAACTTCCAACCTCTGGCTCCACCAATAAATATCTGAACCATTGAGCTATCCAGCCAGCTCTCTTTAAATAGGCAAAGGAATAAACATGTTTTTGATAATAATCTTCTCTTAGTTGCTCTCTTTTCCGACGACCTGCAGGAAACAGACAATGCTCGCAAGACAACTGTCATTGACTGCAGATGGACATTGTTGCCCTGCAAGAGATGAGATTGCCATACTTGGGATCTGTCAAAGAAAAAAAATTCTGATTCTTCTGGCATTGAATGAGACCAAGGAATGTGATGGTCTTTGCAGTCAGAAATATTCTGCTGAGGTCCGTTGTTCCACCTACTCCGGGGAGTGAAAGAATCCTGTCTCTGCAGCCCCTGCAAGAGATGAGATTGCCATACTTGGGATCTGTCAAAGAAAAAAAAATCTGATTCTTCTGACATTGAATGAGACCAAGGAATGTGATGGTGTCTTTGCAGTCAGAAATATTCTGCTGAGATCCGTTGTTCCACCTACTCCGGGGAGTGAAAGAATCCTGTCTCTGCAGCTCCATTCATCAGCAGGACCGGTCACCTTCATTAGTGCATATGCACCAACACTGTCATCTACAGCAGAAATCAAAGACAAATTCTATGATGATCTGGCAGCTACTATAAAAAAATCCCTGAGAGAGAGCCGCTGTTCATTCTCAGAGACTTTAACGCTAGAGTTGAAGCTGATCACAGTTCTTGGCCTGCTTGTCTAGGCTGTTTTGGCATTGGGAAGATGAATGAAAATGGCCAGTGCTTGCTGGAGTATTGCTGTTATTATGATCTTTGTGTCAGCAACACGTTCTTCAATACAGAGCTTCAACACAGAGTCTCTTGGAGACAACCAAGATCGAAGCATTGGCATCAGCTCGATCTGATCCTCACTAAACGCTCTAGGCTTCCTAGTATTACAATCACACACAGCTATCAGGGTGCTGATTGTGATATTGATCACTTCCTGGTGTCTAGGAGAGTAAAACTGCAAATAAAGAGATTGTATCACATGAAAAAGGAAGGAGGACCATGTATTGACATCGGCAAGACTCGCGATCAGAGAAAAGTGGAGGAATTAGCCTGAGCACTTGAGGAAACTCTTCCATGCCCAGCTGCTGCAAATGCACATGAACAATGGGAACATCCCTGTTGAAGTGCTGAAGTGCTGTAAAGAGATAATTACCACTGAGTTGTATGAAATCTTTTGTCTTTGCTGGAGGGAAGGTGAAATACCACAAAACATGAAGGAAGCAAACATTGTCACATTGTATAAGAACAAAGGAGACGGGGCAACTGCAATAACTACAGTGGTGCCCTGCATAACGAGTGCTTCACTTAACGATAAATCCGCATAGCGATGTGTTTTTTGCGATCGCTTTTGCGATTGCATTGTGATGTTTTAGATGGTAAAACATTGCTTTGTGATGATCGGTAAGCGTTTTGCTTACCAATTATCGCATAGTGATGTTTTAAAAACAGCTGATTGGCGGTTCCAAAATGGCCACCAGGTAAAGAAAATGGCCGCCTGCAGTGTTTTCGCGCCCTTTCCTCGCTTACCGGGCAGCAAAAATGGCGGCTGCATGGAGGATTTTCGCAGAACGGTGAGTTTTTTTGCCCATAGGAACGCATTAAACGTGTTTTAATGCGTTCCTATGGGCTTTTTTGTTCCGCATAGAGACGAATCCATATAGCGATGATTTTTTTGGAACGGATTATCGTCACTATGCGGGGCACCACTGTACTGTGGCATGTCTCTTCTCAGCATTGTAGGGAAACTGCTTACCCATGTCATGCTGAAGAGGCTCCAGGTGCTTGCAGAATCACAGTGTGGATTTTGAGCTAATAGATCCACCACTGACATGGTATTTTACCACAGACAGTTGCAGGAGAAATGTAGGGAACAATGACAGCCACTCTTGGTGGCCATCATAGATCTTACAAAGGCCTTTGACTTGCTTAGGAGGGACAGCCATTTTAAAATACTTCCCAAGATTGAAAGTCCACCTCTACTCCTTATCATCATCAGGTCCTTTCATAAGGAAATGAAGGGCACTGTAGTTTTTGATGGCTCAACATCAGATTCCTTTGACATCTGAAGCGGAGTAAACAAGGCTATGTCCTCATGCTGACCCTCTTTGGGATCTTTTTTGCTGTCATGCTGAAGCACGCCTTTGGAACTGCAACAGAAGAAGTCTATCTCTGGACTAGATCAGATGGAAAGCTCTTTAATCTCTCTAGATTGAGAGCGAAGACCAAAGTCTAGCTGAAATACATGTGGGACTTCCTCTTCGCTGCTGCTGATACAGCTGTTGTTGCCCATTCTGCTGAA